GAGTTCATAGGTGGTGGGATTTGCCTGTACTTAGGAAGGACTGACAGCTACTTGAGTGGAGAATGAGCCAACATTTTTATTCTTACAGCCTTGGAGTGCGGCACTGAAGAGCCAGCAACTTCTTTAGCACCCCAGGGAAGAGGTCTGCCCTGGGACTCAAAGTACCAGGCTAGGCATGACAGACATCCTTCCTCCCTGAGTGGCCACTTCATCATTTTTATGTTCATAGGAAACATACCATGATCCTCTCTTTCAAAAACTGATGGAATAAAATCACTCCCTTGAAACTTGCCGAGAAAAAAAAAGGCGCACAACTCCAGGATGAAGGGGAAAACACATTAAAATGTCAGCTCAAGTTTACCTGAAAATGCAGGCCCAACTGATCAAGCTCAATTGAAAGTGCTCTATATAAGCCTCATGGTACAATAAACAGATGACATGAGACATTAGCACTTATTATCTTCTCAGCACACACTTGCAAAGGGGGAAAGTCCTCAAGTTTGCATGTTTGGGAAGCACGTAAAGAGGGACTTTGCATAGATTAAATCACTTGACTCCTAAAGGAATAATAAAAATGTCTGCTGTGTGCATAACTTTTGGATGCACAACATTTTAGATTAAGGAAAATGTCATGGAAGGAAACAGTGCCATAATTTTGAACATGCATCGACAATGAGTTACTTTCCTAAGATGGTGAGACACCACCTCTTTGCATTCATACCCTTTCTACTTACCATACTGAAGGGCTTTTAGTGGGAACCAAAACAGAATAACTGAGTGGAAGAGGCCATTCAAACAATGAACCCAGAAAACCTGAGGGAAAACAAGAATCCATGAGAACCATTTGCGATAAACTCGTGCTGTGACCTCTGACCTTCCTTTTTATCTATGAGCTAGATGCACAAAATGTGTTTCTGCTGGGGCCACCACTGTGAATTAATAGAACTGACAGACACTCTCTGCCTTAGACGTTCATGGGTCATTTATTTATTTTTATGTTTCTCAAGATGTTTTTTCAGCTTCACTTGGAATTTTTTTTTCTACTTAAAAAAAGAAATCCACTATCAAAAGTTTAAATTTCTGCCTGCTAAAGGAAAAAAAATCTTATAACAAATGCAGATCCTGGAATTTCTTACACTGGAATTCTTTTCATAATTCTGGAAGAATAGGCTTTTACAAGACTATGACTGGGAAATCCACCCCTGCTTCCTATCCCACTACTCTGCAAATGTTTCATTGGTACGAACATATAATGCTGTTGTCTCTCTCTTGCAATAGACATGCACATGCATAGACTGTAAAAAAAAAGACAAAGTCTAACATTTAGATGATATATTCATTAAAATAAAGTATTGTGACTATGCCTGAACTTATCAAAGGCTTTTACAATTGTTTAACATCTGTCAATACCAAGTTTCAGACAATCACCACAGCCACTTAACAGCCATTACTTTTTATGTCTTGTGTATTATGAATAGGAGAGCAGGCATCATCGGGACTTGTAACAGAATGTGAAAGATTGAGTTATAGAAAACTGCTTAGAATCTTTATGAGCCCCCAAACAGCTGTAGTTTCATCATTTAAAACGGCTTCCTGCAAACAAAGCTTAATGTTAAATACAATTGGCATATATTAATAGTTTTAAGCTGTTCAAACAACAGAAATTAAGTTGCCTGCCTCCCAAAATTTTCCACTGTGATCTCAACCTCCTTTGTTAGTTCACCCAGCCACGCTGGGGTGTATGATCCAATTTACGCTCCAATACTTTACACATTTGAACTTGTGTTACTCATTAACCTTTGTTGCTTCTCCTCACTATGTCATTACCACAAGTTTTTATTTGACAGAAAGCACAGGTGGGTGCAAGAAAAATTAGTTCTACTTTTCCATTTTCCTGACTGATACTTATTGTCACATGCTAATCCTTTAACCCCTGTCACGACCTTAGAACCTCCGACCCCTTTTACCATAACAAACGTAAGCCTCATCATTCAAGGGAACAATGCTTCCACACTCAGGACCCTCGGCAACCGTTGTGTAGACAACTATGCATTTTGTAACCATTTGTTCCTGAATTTTAATACATTTAGATGGAATGCAATCAAACAGTTTCTCTGAAATTATTTGCCAAAAATTTATAAGCCCTAGAAAAGTAGATGGGAAGCTGAATATACGAGCTAAATACATATTCAAAGAGATATGGGACCTGTGCAGCCCCATTGAGTTGATCTGGAGTTTTCTAAATGACCGGGCTCTACAGATATTGAAGTACTTTTCAATAAGAAAAGATAGAAGGAAAAAGTTACTCTTATGTCAACACAACATACTACCTGTTATGCCCTTTTCCTGACCACCACAACACTGTGCCCATAATTGTCATGCATGGAGGGCATGAGAGGATGGAGCTTTTCAGGAATGGCAGGGTAATCCTGGGAGGATCAATGCATGTTTTCGTTCAAGTAGGACACGATCACATTTGTGGCTGGAAGCTAACTTCTGAGATAGCATCACAGAGCCCAAACTATGGGAGGCAAGGACCTGTAGCTAAGCTCGATAAAGCCTACTGAGCTGGTGAGAATTATTGCCAAGGTATCAGTCTGCTCTTGGCTCCCAGATGACTTTTACAGGAAAACAAGAGCTCGTGGCCACTGTATATGCCTTGACCATAGCCTTTCATCATTTGAAAATGTTCACCATAGATAATGAAAACCATGGCAGCAATGTGGGGAGAATTTGATATAAATTGTTAACAATAAATAAATAACCCCCCCAATCACATTAAAAATGTTAACTTAGACATTGTATACTATGAAGAGAAATAGCTTAAGAATATACCACCACAAATACAGTTCAGAACCAGTGTTACAAATTAGGCAAGCTTCAGGATGTTTGATGTTTTAAGTTGACCAGTTTCAATTATTTAACCTGAAGCTATTAAGTTATATGCGTGTGTGCCTCTGTACATCCATGAAGTCTGTCCATGAAGACTGAGTCTCAGAAGAAAGAATAATTTCCTGGTTATATGCTCACACTACCATTTACGGTGCAGACTATAAAGGCATCAAAACACCTGCTTCACTTTGTTCTTGGTATACTGAGAATAAACAGCACTAGAGAGCTTTATGAGTTAATACATATTAAAAGTTCCTATGCTAAATGCCTGTAAATTCAAAACACTGAATTGCAACTATATCTAAGTATCAACAATTTACTACTAAAAATGCACTAAATTAAATGGAAATGATTCAGTAAAAGGGTATTATATTTGTTCATTTGTTTTACTACTAATCAAATATGTGTCTATTAGGGTTTCAAAACTGCATCCACCTTGGTTGTTGTCATTTTAAATCCATACCCTCAGTTACACTAAACAGAAACCCGAATCATTATGTAATACTAGTGTGGAAACATGTTAGAAGACACACTTGCAGGAAAGTAAATTATGCAGAAATGAAACCTTTCGTTGCTGGAATGACTAAATATCACAGATCACAGAAGATGACAGTAGCCTATGCTGTGTTGGGTCGAGTGTGAGCTCAAGCAATGCAATGCAATCAGTAGAGGAAGAGTGGTCAAGTATGGTCAAGTTAGGTCAAGTATGAACCCAAGCAATGCAGTCAGCTCAAACATCCATCAGCAGATGAATGGACAGGAAAAATTTGGAACATTTACATGGTGGTAGCATTTCATTTAGCCAAAAAGGAAAATGAGCCCATGAACCTGGGATGGAAATGGATGGAACTGGAAAATATTATATTAAAGTGAGGTGGCCTAGGTTCAGAAGAACAAATCCTGTATGTTTTCTCTCATGTGTGGCTCTTAGATTCTCATTTCTTAAAACCCCTAATTATTGATTCTTTGTGGATTTCACATAATGTATCCTGATCCCACTCATCTCCCCATCTCCTCGACTCCACCCTCTATCCTCGGACTCCCCCACTCGCCCCATAGCTTCTCATTTTTATGCATGAGAAAGGGAGGTGGGGAAGAGGGACAAAGAGGGTCAATCAAAGTAATCACATAGGAGAATGTCATAAGGAAACCTGTTACTTTTTATGCTAATGACACTTCTTATGCTAATGAAAGAAAGGACAACTTTCTAGATAAAAACAAAAACAAACAAACAACAACAACAACAACAAAACCCAAAACAACAATCCAGGCAAACTATAATTTTAGGTAAATCCTGGATACTTCATCTTGTGTTTTAATTTTAAGCTTCAGAGCTAGCAACTAAACAAGAAGTTACTTCCTGGAGGCTGTAACTTTAATACTGGACTCAATCGCTCTAAAATTCTAATGAGAACATTATTTCCTCAAACAGGGGATTGGGAATGAATGAGATGATACTCCTCACCACAGCAAAAGAAGAGCCAAGCTGTGTCAGTCCTAGTTGACTAACTGGTGATTAGCTAGCTGGTGAGAAATGAGTGATTTCTAACACTGCCTGAAAGAACACTAACACGGCCTGGCAGGTCACATCTACTCATTGCTGCCCCCAAGCTTGACTAACTGGTGACTAGCTAGCTGGTGAGAAATGAGTGATTTCTAACACTGCCTGAAGGAACACTAACACGGCCTGGCAGGTCACATCTACTCATTGCTGCCCCCAAGAACCCCGATGAAGAGTGATTTCATTTTAATTTTGTAACGCTTAAAAAAAACCCCAACAAACAAACAAACAAACAAACACCCCCCAAACAATCCAA